CCCCCAGGCGCTGAGTGCCCCGGGCCCCAGGATGCTCTGCTGAGCAAGACAGGGACCTGCCCTAAGCTTTGCAGGTGGGCGACAGCTGCAGGGGTGCGCTCCCTGGGGGGCAGGGTGGCCTCTGTTCCAGAGGCTGCTAGTGGCGGGGAGCACATGGGAGCTCCCCACTTCCTCTGAAGGCCTGTGAGAGCTAGGGGGAGGGGCAGGGGCGCACCTCCCTGCGTCTCCCTGGGCCCTGCCCACAGGCCTCCCAGGCTGCTCCTGTCTGGCCCCATCACAGGGTTTCTCTGACCTCCCAACGGGCTCCACGCCCGTCCCCCAGTCTTCTCCCAGCAACCACTGGCTTGCAGGGTTGTGCCCATATCCCAGGGACCCCAGAAGCAGACTCGCCCGTAGTGTATGCGGTCCCCAAGCGGTTCCCTTCCCCAGACAAGCCTCTGCCAGGCCCTCTCTGCAAGGCCCGGGGGCTGTGTCCTCAGCTCCGGGTAGAAGCTCCCCCGTGTCCCTCTCGAGGCAGCACCATGCCCATCACCCTAGTGGAGCCCTGGGGCCCACATGGTGTGGGTGCCCCAGGCGAGGGGCAGGGGTGGGAGGAGTGGTGAGCGCCCTGGGCCTCTGTGGGGAAGGGTGTCAGGGGAGGGTGTCATTCAGCCACAGCAAGGGGGCGAGTGGCCAGCTTGGGCTGGGAGGAGGGGGCCCTGAGCCACTCTGGCGTCTCCGGACAGGTGAGGGAGGGGGGGACCAGGAGCGTGACCTTGGGGCCCCCATTAGCCCAGAAGAAAGGCCCAGGGGCTGAGTTCAGAGTTGGGAGTGACTCTCCGCAGTCTGCCCACATCCTGCTGCCTAGAGCTGAGCGGCATCACATACCCACCACATACTGGGTAGCCAGTGGGGGAGGGGTCTCCCACCTCCTGCTTCACACCTGCCAATCCTGCTGGGTTCTTGATGTGGGGGGGGGGGGGGAGGAGGCAGGAGATGGTACGCAGGTGAGGTCACTCAGGCAGCGCTGCATGGACCCACATCACTTGCTGGGTTCTTGGAGGTTCCTGGATTACTAGTGGCTCCTACCCACCTGGGGGCCCCCCGAGCCCACCAAGGCAGCAGAGGGCTAATGGCTGGGAGCAGTTGCCCAGGGGCTGCCCCCTATGCCTGAGTCCCAGTGAGAAAGAGGTCAGCACCTCACTTTCTACCCAGGACCCCCTCTGCTGTTTCCTCACAGACACCACCCTCTCTGCCAGGTGTGGTGGAACCCCTCAGTGGGTCGCCCGGAGCCTGCTCTACTCTCCCTCGAACCCACAGCTTTCCACATCCGGACATTCCACCAGGGGTTAGTCTCATTCGCCTGGTTCTGTTTGGTTTCTGCCTGTTCGTTCACTATTTCACTTTTGTTTTGTGTTGTTTTGTTTTTAATTTGGGGGACGACACCTGACTGTGCTCAGCATTTATTCCTGATTCTCTGTCAGGCACCATTTTTGGTGCTGGGGATCGAACCCGGGTCGACTGCAGGCAAGACAAGTGCCCTGCCTCTGTGCTAACTCTCTGGCCCCGACACCTTCTCCTGGTGCACGGATGCCATTTCGTTCCTTCTATCCTGATCAGACGTCCTTGGAGATGATGGTTCCATGGTTCTGTTACCTTCATCTCTTCTGGACTGAATTCATCTCGCTTTGAGTCCAGCGTGTGATAATACGCTGCCCCTCCAGACAGGGAGAGGGGCTTCACGAGGCCAGGGGTGTTGCCCGCACAGCAAAGCTGCTCGCATCTCCTACTGTAGGGCTGGTGTCCACCTTGAGACGGGCCCAGCAGCAGACAGAAGAAAACCCCCGGGGGCCCTCAGGAGGGCACTGCCCAGCACAAAGCAGGGATTTCCATCACGTTCCGTACCGGACAGTAGCAAGGCGCCTTCGGCTGGGACTCGAGTCGGGGGGAGGGTTGAGCCGGACTGCAGCAGGCCGGGCTGGAGGGAGGATAGGGCCCTGCCTGGGAGCTGGTTGACCCCTCTGTCCACAGGCGCTGGACACAGAGGGGTTCGTTACTCTTACACGCCAGAAGCAAGAGTGGCCGAGAAACATGTGGATTTTGATTAAATGAAGTCTTTTATTCAAGTGACTGGGGGGCCGAGGAACATGGGGAGAAGGGGTGGCTCTGAGTTGGGCGTTTTGCCCCTTTGGAGTCTCATCAAGTCCGTCACCTCCCATCTGTCCTCATCTGCATGGGGCCCCGGCTGCCCTCTGCCCTGTCCTCAGTGAGAGACACGCAGGGAAGCATTGCATTATTAATGTTTGATTTCCCTCGCTGGCTAGCAACAGATGACTCGAGGATTAATGAGTCGGACGGGGCCCGCAGAGAAGGACGGGTATTGCCTGATCCCTGCCCTGCCCCTACTTCCTGCCTGCCGCTTTCACTCCTGCTCTGGGTCACCTTCCTGCGCGCCAGACGGGGGCAAGGGGGGCCCTTTGGGCTTTAGCTTCTTCCTCTGCTAAATGGGCTCCATGAGATGAGTGTCCATGCAGCCCCACTGTCCCTTCACCCTTGCTCTGGAGGAGACTCCTGGCCACAGGCAGGGTCTCCCGGGGGAGCACAGGGTCAGGTGGGAGAGCCCAGGGCCCCAGTTGTCACAGCTGACTGTGACAAGTTGCTGGCGACTCCCAGATCCTATCAGTGACATGTCAGCTACCTGGTATCACCACGAGGCGAGTGTTGACACCACAAGAATCTGGTGGCAGGGGCCAGAGCGATACAGTACAGTGGGGAAGATGCTTGCCCTGCACACAGCTGACCTGAGTTCGATCCCCGACATCCCATACGGTCTCCGGAGCCCCACCAGGAGTAACTACTGAGTGCAGAGCCAGGACACAGCTGGGTGTGACTCCAAACCTCCAAATCTGGTCCCAGGTGGCCAAGAAGCCTCCTCCTCCCACGGGGCTGCTTTGCAGAGGGGACCCCTAGGCTTTCCAGCCTCCCAGTGGCCACCTCCCCATATGGCCCCTCTGCTCAGCTGCAGGTGTTCTGCTTGTCCTGGAAGCTGTTGCTGAGGCCAGGCTGGGGGATCAGGCTGTCTCCCTGGCAGGGACAGCTGTGCTTGCGGATCTGTAGTGGCACGGTGGGAAGGCCAAGAGGGAATGGGGACCCCCAAGCAGGAACTGGAGGCGTAGCTTAGCGGGGTGTAGGATGTGGGAGGACATGGCAGGAGAGTCCGGAGGGGTCAGCAGGGGTCAGGATGGGGCAGGCACCAGGTGCTGTGCTGGAAGGTGGTCGTGATGGGTCCCTCGAGGGCTGAGCTGATGGGTCCTGGGTCAGGTGCTGGGTTTCCAGGGAAGCACTTCCAGTGGGGGTCACTTCCTTTCTACAGAGCCACGTGGGACCCCAGAGAGAGCCTCTCCGCACAGAGCTGCCCAGGCTCCGTCTCCTGCTCTGCACGTGGGCAGCGTCTGTCCTGTGGGGATAATAAGCACAGGTTCTGAGAGGGAACCCCTGGGGTTCTTGGGGGCTTGGCCAGCTCACTGGGGTCAGGCCCTCCACCCCATGCCGGACACAAAGAGGGCACAACTCTCAGGGGTGACCCGAGGCCCACTGGAGGGAAGGGACAGGGGGCTCTGGGAGGCTGGGTTGGTTGGTCCTGTCACTGTGACCAGGCATGATGGCAGCCTTGTTCCCAGGACATCAATCCTCAAGAGGCCCTGAGGCCCCCTGCAGGAGGGATCTGATTTTTTTTTTTTTTTTTTTGGCTTTTTGGGCCACACCTGGCCATGCACAGAGGTTACTCCTGGCTCTGCACTCAGGAATTATCCCTGGGGGTGCTCAGGGGACCAAATGGGATGCTGGGAATCAAACCCGAGTCGGCCATGTGCAAAGCAAATGCCCTACCCGCTGTGCTATTGCTCCAGTCCGCTGCAGGGAACTGAGAGGAGGTTACTACAAGCATCCTGTCACCAGGAGGTGGCCGCTGGCTCCTCAGTGCCTGGGGCCCAGGAAGGGCCAGGACTGGTGGGGTAGTACTGCGAGCAGCAGGGGATTGGAGAGGCCCCACATTACAGGGGCAGGGGGCCCCGAGGACCCCCACCTCAGAAGCTCCAGCGTTTTTGTTGGGGAGACTAAGACCCCTGTTCCTACTTTCGAGGGGTGCCATTGACTCCTTCCACCCCGATTACTCTGGGGGAGCCCCTCGAATCTGTTGGCTTCTTCTCACAGAGCCGTGGAGAGGAGCTGAGAGGACCACAGAGGGGCCCGAGCGAAGGTGCGAGGGACCGTCTGAGACCCCACCCCGAGACCTGGCCGGCACCCCGCTTTCTGTCAGCCACCAGATTTCGATTCCATCCGTCCCAGCCGCAGCCCGGCGAGGAGCAGGTGGGGCGTGGGGGTGGGAGGGAGGGGCGGGTCGGGGAGCCGCGGCAGCTGCCCTCCCAGGTGTGCGGGCGGGGGCGGACGGTGCTCCTGTGCGCAGCCTCCCTGGCAGCCGCTCCCCTAGGGCGACCCTGGGCCCCTCCTGAGCCAGCAGCACAGGCACCGCTGTCATCCCTGGAGGAGCTCCAGAGGCAGCGCGTGCCCAGCGGCTGGAGAGAAGGTGGGGGGCCTGGGAGAGCTGGGGCGAGGGGTCCCTGGGAGGGTCTTCCAGGGCCAGGCTGTCCCAGAAGGCCCGAGAAGCCCGGGTAGGGGGCTCGCGGGAGGGACTTCACTCAGGGTTCCAGCTATCCGCAGAGACCCGGGTGGCTGCCCGCCAGCCGTCCGTGCAGAGTGGGGTGCAGGCACGAGGTCCTTCTCAGGCAGTCCGGGGGCACTGCGGGGAGGCCACGGCTGCGCTGGGCTGGGGGGTATCCAACCCCTCAGGAGACCCCCCACCTCTGTCCCCGCAGGTGTCTCGGAACCGGGAAGAGCCAGGCAGAATGCGGGAGCCCCGGGACCCCGGGGTTGGGGCCTGGCTTCCACCTCGCCGCCGGCTGTGAAGAAGCCCTGGGGGCGCCGCCCCCCCCTCCCCGCTGGCTCCCGCGAGGAAGGGGCCACCGCCGGCGCTGCAGCTATGGACCGTGAGCTGGCCCGGCCGGCGTCCTCGCTGACCCTGCCCGCCGGCGGCCGCGCGCACCATGGCCTTGTCGGTGTACATCACGGTGGAGCTGGCCATCGCTGTGCTGGCCATCCTGGGCAACGTGCTGGTGTGCTGGGCCGTGTGGCTCAACAGCAACCTGCAGAACGTCACCAACTACTTCGTGGTGTCGCTGGCGGCGGCCGACATCGCCGTGGGGGTCCTGGCCATCCCCTTCGCCATCACCATCAGCACGGGCTTCTGCGCCGCCTGCCACGGCTGCCTGTTCATCGCCTGCTTCGTGCTGGTGCTCACGCAGAGCTCGATCTTCAGCCTCCTGGCCATCGCCATTGACCGCTACATCGCCATCCGCATCCCCCTCCGGTGAGTGAGTGGCCGGTGGCCCGAGCACCAGCGGGCTCCCAGGGGCAGGGTGAAGCCGGGGGCAGGGTTTGGTTTGTGGCGTCGGTGGGTGAAGCGGGGTGGGGGGTGCTGGGCTGGCTGGAGGTGCTGCCCGCAGTTTGTGCCCATCGAGCTGCGGCCTGTGGGGTCCACCCTGCTCCTCGGCTCCTCCAGGCTGTGTGGTGGCGGTTCCTGAGTGTGTGTGGACCCCCCCCCCCACCGCCCCGCTCTGCAGGCAGCATGAGCTGCCCACCCCCCCCCCCCCACACAGAGATGGTGGGGCTGAGCACGGCACCACGGAAAACCACAGGCCTCAGCGCGCCCCTGCCCTACACCCCGCCCCTCGCGCCGGCCTTGTAGTTGCACATTAGGAAAATGACCCAGAGAGGGGAAGTGACTTGGCCAAGCGCCACCGTGAGTCACCACGGGGGACCTATATGCAAATTCTCTGCCCCGCAGGTCATCCAGTACTCAAGGTTTTGGAAAGTGTCTCTACCCTCACTGGCTAAGCGGGGAGTCTGGGGGTGGTTCGTGATGAAACGCGGGTGAGCTGGCCTCAGTTTCTGGGTTGTGCAAAGGGAGATTTTCCCTGAGGCTGAGGGTACGCCCCTCCCTCCCGGGGCTTCCTGAGACCCGTGGGGCTAAGGGACAGGCTTCATCCCGAGCAGGCCTGCAGCCGGGCGAGGGCACAAGGTGACCACAGGACCAGCCCCCCAGTCCTGTGGCGAGTTGTCCCGCCCAGGTGGGGTGTGTAAGAAAAAGATGCTGAGGGCTGCTGGCTTCGTGACCAAATGGAAAGTTCGAGTGTCAAACCCAAAGGGGCCCTTAGAGGTTATTTCCTCTGGCGCTTTGGAGAGTCAGCCCGGGGGCCCGCCCAAGGCGAGGTGGCCAGACTGGGATGGGGCCTGCGGAGAAGTGGGGCCTGCAAGGTCACAGCCCTGGGCCTCCAGTGGCCACACCTGTTACCTGAACTCTGAGGGGGACGCAGGCCCTTCCTCTGCTGCTGAGTGACAGACAGGGCTCCCAGGTGATCCAGAGAGCAAAAATCGGTATCCAGTTCTCAGCGGGGAGACCGCAGGGTTAGACCAGCAGGACAAGCGGCCGTGTTACAGGGGGCAGGACGGCAGTGGCCCCCGGCAGGAGTTGGGCTTCTCCATCTCTCCGGGCCCCGTCTCTCCATCACTCAGAGTCAACACAGGGAGTGACCCCCCTGAGGAGGGTGGTGGGCACGGTGGGGGGACATTGGAGGGAGGTCCCATCTGTGTCCCCAACACCCCCCACCCCCGCCCCAAACTGGGAGCAGGACCTGGGGCTGCCCAGTTGGTGGCCAAGTGCCACTGAGCCAGGCGAGAGGAGACTCACCGGAACCTCCGAGGCCTGGGGAGCTGACGGGGATGACAAGGGTGACGTTCATCCTCCCCCTCGACCTCATCACGTCACTGCTGTCAGCACAGCAGCGCCTGACCAGGGCTGTGACCGGGTCAGAGGCCAGACTCTCAGGCCAGAGCCATGACTGGGTTTCCCAGCGCTGAGGGCCTGGGGGCACTTTCACAGAAGGCTGTGCAGACTGCCCGGCCCTTGCACCCTTTGTGGCCGGGGGTCCTCGGTGGGCACCTCCTGTCCCACACTGAGCAGCCGTCCTCAGAGCTCTGAACTCCAGCCCCTCACCCTGCCCTGTGCACCTTGCCCGGCCAGCACCATTCACCACTCACTCCTTCCTTCCTTCCCTCCTTCCTTTGTTCCCTCTCCCCCATCCCTCTTTCTTACCCTCTCTCTCCCCTCCCTTCCTCACTCCCTCCCTCTCTCTCCTTCCTTCCCTCCCTCTCCCCCTTCCTCTTCTCTCTCTCTCTCTCTCTCTCTCTCTCTCTCTCTCTCTCTCTCTCTCTCTCTCTCTTTCCACTTAAGAAGCATCAGTGTGTTCTGGCTAGAGGCAGATCCCCCCCAGGAGAGCGGTTCCCCAGGGGTTGCACAGTCTCCCGTCCCATTGTCCTGTCTCTGGCCTTACTGGTGGCAGTGACCTAGTACTATTGGTCCTGGTGCTCACTCCTTGAGAAACAAGCCTCATGCAGGGAGATGGTGCCCCAGGCGACACAGCTGGAACTGAGGCCAGATCCTGGGCTTTGGGGCCCGGGCGACACAGCTGGAACTGAGGCCAGATCCTGGGCTTTGGGAAGATGCGGACAAGTGTTCCAGGAGGAGGGGTGGCTGTATCCTGTACGGGGAGGGGCGCAAGCCCAGGGGACTCCCCAAGAAAGGAGTGAGCGCATGGGTTCTGGGCCGTGAGAGGTGGAGTAGACGGGCAGGAGGGAGGGCGCAGTGCGCAGCCTGCTCTGCCAAGGGAGGGGACCGAGGGGCTCCTCGTTTCTTGAATCACAGTTTGGGCAGCGGAGGGAAATCCCACCTCTCCTCAGTGTCCGTCAGAGGAGTCGAAAGCCCCCCCACTCCCTCAAATCAGGAGGGGAAACACTGTCGGGGGCCCTGAGGTGGGGATGGGGGGCAGCCTGTGACGTTCTGCACAGTGACCCTGGCACCCACTTCCTGTGCTCCCCGGGGCATCAGGGCATCCGTGTTGGAGGCTTTGTCTGTCTTTTTACCCAGCCCAAGTGGCGCTCCTGGGGGGCCGGAGCGATAGCACAGCGGGTAGGGTGTTTGCCTTGCACGTGGCCGACCTGGGTTCGATCCCCAGAATCTCATATGGTCCCCCAAACACTGCCAGGAATAATTCCTGAGTGCAGAACCAGGAATAACCTCTGAGCATCGCCGGGTGTGACCCCCCGCAAAAAAAAGGGGCGCTGCTGACTCCTGCTCACTTGGACTGTGGCTCCATTTGGGTCCTGATGCCGTGGCAGCCCCCCGAGGGGCCTCGGGTAGGGTTCTCAGTCTGAGGGATTTCCTCCTCAATAACAAAATTCATGTTTGTTTGTTTGTTTGTTGGGGGTCGCTCCTAAGCAGTGCTCATGAGGCTCCGGGCCCCACGGGCGACGCTGCTCGGGCCTGGGTGCCAGGACTCAAACCTGGATCAGGGGCCCATCTGGCAAGTCCCCTCTCTAAGCACTGTCCCCTCTTCCTGTCCCCGCACACAAGACCTCAAGAAAGAAGCGAAGGATGGATGCTGAGAAGTGACCTGTCACCCTCTCCTTGGTTTTCTCCCGTCTTCCTGGGCACAGTGAGCTTCAGGTCCTTCCTCAGACCCTGCAGAGACAAGCGCTGATTCACTTTCCCCAGTGGGTGTCGTTGCCTGTCCAAGGGGACCTGTGCACAAAAGGGAGTTTTATCCCACGTCCCCAGGAGCTCTGGGCCAGACCCTGGTGGCCAATGCCTTGCCAGTGGTTTTCACTTATTGGTTCATGAACAAGTGAATGTAGATAGTCACAGGTCTACAGGGGCAGAAAACCGCCCTTCTTTTTTTTTTTTTTAATTTTTATTAGTGAAACACCATGAAGTACAGTTGTAGACTTACAAACTTTTGTGCTTGGGTTTCAGTTTTACAATGATCGAGTACCCATCCCTCCACCAGTCACATTTTCCACCACCACGGGTCCCAGTATCCCTCCCACCCCCCCCACCCACCCCCCATCTCACCCCATCTCTGTGGCAGGGCATTCCCTTTTGTTCTCTCTCTCCTTTTGGGTGCTGTGGTTTGCAAAAGAGGCATTGAGAGGCAATCATGTTCGGTCTAGAGTCTACTTTGAGCATGCTTTTCCCATCCTGGGAGGATCCTCCCAATACCCTTTACCTGGTGCTCCCTTCTCTATCTGAGCTGCCTTTTCCCATAGCAGGTGCAGCTGGCCTCCAAGCCATGGAGTGAACCTCCTGGTACTTATCTCAGCTATTCTTGGGTGTTAGTCTCCTATTTTGGAGAACCGCTTTTCTGTTTGTTTTTTTGGGTTTTTTTTTTTTTTTTTTTGCTTTTCGGGTCACACTTGGCAATGCTCAGGGGTTCCTTCTGGCTCTGCACTCAGGAATCACTCCTGGCTGTGCTCAGGGACCATATGGGATGCTGGGAATTGAACCCAGGTTGGCCGTGTGCCAGGCAAATGCCCTACCTGCTGTGCTATCACTCCAGCCCCGAACTGCTTTTCTGCACCCCCCTCATTGCTTGCCCCTGTGTGAGTGCCTCTTTCATGGTACTATGTGGAAACTGAGGCTGGGGTGGGAGGGGGCCAGTGGTGGTAGAACGTGGTGAGTAGGAAAAGCAGTTAGGGAGGGATATACTTTGCCGCAGAAAACTCATCAAAATTAAAGTAGCCTCCAACTCATCCTGTCAGCCACTGTCTGTAGAGCCTTAAAAGCTGCCTGCGGGGAGCAAGTGCCCTCTAACTGGCAAAAGAGGCAGTGGGCAGGGGAGGGGGGTTCTGTGACCTCACATTGGGGGCCCCAGTCAGTCTCTTTCAGCCATCTCAGCTGCGGGGCCCCAGCATCCAGAACCCGCAAACAAGTACCGTCATAGCTCTGTGGGCAGATGGACAGACTTACCCTAATCCAAGTCACCTCTGGCTCCTGGAATGCCCAGAGCAGGCCCGTGATGCCCCTTGGCCTCAGTTTCCCCACATGTGAAACAAAGGGATTGGATCTGATAAAAGGTCACAGAGTCTTCACTGTCGCTTTTCTCTTCATTGGAACTTGTTGGCAGCATGTTAGTCCAGGGAGCTCTTCCCAGGCCCTCCTGAGATGTGCTGGTGCTGGGCACACAGTGTGCCTGCAGGAAGTGCCCACTGGCTTCCACTCTCCCACTCAGGCCGATACCCCCGGCCTGCCTCGCACACGTCACCGATAGACCCTGAAGTTTACACGCAGAAGTTCCTAAACTTACTTGGCCCACTCCTCCGCATCTAGGCCAAAAATCACTCAGTGTCCCCCAACCCTGAAGTCTTTCTTCTTTAAGCAAACAAACAGAAAGTCCTTCCCCTCCCATTGCAGGCCTCCCCAACCCCATCACTCCAGCAGCCCCCCCTCAGGGACAGTTTCCTCTCTCAGGAAACTCCAGGGCTCCTGTGCTGGAATAAAGGAGGCGCATGTTCCCCTTCACACCCTGGGGGTGCCTGTCTTGAAGCTGGCAGTGCAACGAGGGATGCAGAGGGGGTTGCCCCAGCTCCCATGGATGTCCAGCTGGGCAGGATCAGCCGTGCTTCTGTAGGAAGTTTCCAAAAGATTCCTAACCTGGACATGTTGGCCAGGTAGAGGAGAAAAGTCTGGCTTTTCAGAATCAAAAACCCTCGACAGAAAGTCGTTTTTCAGGGACCTTGGGGGGTTGCCTTCTTCAAATCACAAAGAGATTTTTGATTGCCCAGCCTTTTTCCTTCCTTCCTTCCTTCCTTCCTTCCTTCCTTCCTTCCCTCCCTCCCTCCTTCCATCCTTCCTTCCTTCCTTCCCTCCTTCCTTCCTTCCTCCCTCCCTCCCTCTTTCTTTTTTTAATGTTTTCTCTCTCTCTCTCTCTCTCTCTCTCTCTCTCTCTCTCTCTCTCTCTCTCTCTCTCTCTCTCGGTGGCTCTCTGCCGTGAGGATCGGGACCGTCGTTCCCCTGGGTGCGTGTGGGATGGTCGGGGCCTGTCTTGAGGACTTCCTCCCTGGCCTCCCGCCGCTCGAGCCGCCCGCCTGGGCCCTGTGCACGCAAGAGCCGGCGCACATATATATGGGCTGGAGCGATAGCACAGCGGGTAGGGCGTTTGCCTTGCACGCGGCCAACATGGCCGACCCGAGTTCGATTCCTCCGCCCCCTCGGAGAGCCCGGCAAGCTACCGAGAGTATTCGATATGCCAGACACGGTAACAACAAAGTCTCCAATGGAGACGTTACTGGGCCCGCTCGAGCAAATCGATGATCAACGGGAGGGCCTTTTTCTTTCTTTCTATATATATTATATATTTTTTCCTTAAATTTTTATTAGTGAAACACCATGAGGTACAGTTGTAGACTTACAAATTTTTGTGCTTGGGTTTCAGTTATACAATGATCAAGTACCCATCCCTCCACCAGTGCCCATTTTCTACCACCATGGATCCCAGTATCCCTCCCACCCCCCATCCCCCATCCTACCCTACCTCTGTGGCAGGGCATTCCCTTTTGTTATCTCTCTCCTTTTGAGTGCTGTGGTTTGCGAAAGAGACTTCGAGTGGCAATCATGTTCAGTCTATAGTCTACTCTCATCATGCATCTCCCATCCTGAGAGGAACCTTCCAACGCCCTTTAATTGGTGCTCCCTTCTCTATCTGAGCTGCCTTTTCCCCTAGCGTGTGCAGCTGGCCTTAAAGCCATGGAGTAATCCTCCTGGTACTTATCTCAGCTATTCTTGGGTGTTTCTCTCTCTCTCTCTCTCTTTCTTTCTTTCTTTCTTTCTTTCCTTCTTTCTTTCCTTCTTTCTTTCCTTCTTTCTTTTTTTCTTCTTTGCCACACCCAGTAGTGCTAGGGGATCACCATGTGGTGCTGTTGATCAAACATGAGTCAGCCACACACCCCTGCACTGTCTCTGATGCCGCCCATTTTTTAAAATTTTTTTTATTATTATTAGTGAAACACCGTGAGGTACAGTTGTAGATTTACAATTTTTTGTGCTTGGGTTTCGATTATACAATGATCAAATACCCATCCCTCCACCAGTGCCCATTTTCCACCACCATGGATAATATCCCTCCCACCCCCATCCCTCCCATCCAACCCTGCCTCTGTGGCAGGGCAATCCCTTGTGTTCTCTCTGTCCTTTTGGGTGTTGTGGTCTGCAAAAGAGGCTTTGAGTGGCAAACATGTTCAGTCCATAGTCTACTTTCAACATGATGCCGCCCATTTTTAACACAATCTGTGCCACCCTCTTTTGGGCCTGGGGTCAACTTCTTGGCTGCTCCCGAGTCTGTAGCAGAGGGAGAGGGCCGGCGACATGGGCCAGTGTCCCAGCGACATGGGCCAGTGTCCCAGCATCCTTCCTCCCAGCCCCACAGGTGTGTGTCAGTGACAGGGCTCAGTCCTCATTTCCCCACAGGACTGTGGGTAGGCTAGAAGGGGACTTGGACCCTCCACCTCTCCTTGGGGGCTTGCAAGCAGCGCTAGGGGTGAATGGGGAGGGAAAAGCAAGGAGAACAGGACCTGAGAATCAGGAAGGATCTGGTTCGGCTGCTTTTGTCCCCACAAATCAATTAAGCTCGCCCTCCTGCCACCCCACCCCGCCCGTGGGGAACATCCCCTAATGTCAACCATGATCAGCCTGGAGGCAGGTTCTTCTCTCCCTCCCAGTTGCAAAAACAAAATCACTGCTCAGGGGCCAGTGGAGAGGTCAAGGCTCTTGCCTTGCACACAACTGACTCCGGTTCGAACCCCAGCATCCCATGGGGTTCCCAAGCCCGGCCAGGAGTGATCCTCAAGGTAGAGTTGGGAATAAGTCCTGGTCCTCAAACCAAAGTAGAACAAAACAATAAAAGAATCCCTCGTCCGGGGCTGGAGAGAGCTCGGCAGCCTGTGCGTGCATTCCGCATGCAGGATGTGAGGATTCAGGCACCAGCAGGAGTGAGCCCTGAGCACAGAGGCACAACCCTGGGGTGGTGTTTGGGGGCATCCCCCCGTGTGCCCCCTCCCCCAACACCAAAACAAAAATTCCCAAGTACCCTGCTCACCGAGCGCCTCAACGTACTATTCACGTGCCACCAGCAGGCCCTCTGCAGCGTTCCCTTCCTCAGGGCCTGATGTCCACACGGGCCCGAGAGTGCCCGGAGAAGACCCGGAGACCAGGAGGCGCAGGGGAAGGATAGTCCCAGCCCTCAACCCTCACGAGCGGGCCGCAGCTCCCACTCCTGCCCCTCCCTCACGCAGCCCTTCCCCTCTCCGCAGGTACAACGGCCTGGTGACGGGCACCAAGGCCAAGGGCATCATCGCCGTGTGCTGGGTGCTGTCGTTCGCCATCGGCCTGACCCCCATGCTGGGCTGGAACAACTGCAGCCAGCCGGCGAAGGCGGGCAACGGCACACAGGAGTGCGGGGCGGCCCAGGTGGCCTGCCTCTTCGAGGACGTGGTGCCCATGAACTACATGGTCTACTACAACTTCTTCGCGTGCGTGCTGCTGCCGCTGCTGCTCATGCTGGGCATCTACCTGCGCATCTTCCTGGCCGCCCGGCGGCAGCTCAAGCAGATGGAGAGCCAGCCCCTGCCCGGGGAGCGGACGCGGTCCACGCTGCAGAAGGAGGTGCACGCGGCCAAGTCCCTGGCCATCATCGTGGGGCTCTTCGCCCTCTGCTGGCTGCCCCTGCACGTCATCAACTGCTTCACCTTCTTCTGCCCCCAGTGCAACCACGCGCCGCCCTGGCTCATGTACCTGGCCATCGTGCTCTCCCACACCAACTCCGTGGTGAACCCCTTCATCTACGCCTACCGCATCCGCGAGTTCCGCCAGACTTTCCGCAAGATCATCCACAGCCACGTACTGCGGCAGCAGGAGCCCTTCAAGGCGGGCGGCGCCAGCGGCCGGGCGCTGCCGGCCCACGCGCACGGGCATGGGGACGGGGAGCAGATCAGCCTGCGCCTCAACGGGCACCCGCCAGGCGTGTGGGCCAACGGCAGTGCCCCCCACCCCGAGCCCAGGCCCAACGGCTATGCCCGGGGGCTGGCAGGCGGTGGCAGGAGCGGGAGTGCACCCCCCGGGGACACGGGGCTCCCCCACGTGGAACTGCTCAGCCAGGAGCTCCAGGAAACTGGACTGGAGAGCCCCGGGGTCCCGGAGGGAGCCGGGGTTTCCTGAGGACCTGTCCCCACCCACCCCCAAGGCAAGATTCCGACCCTTCTCTCTCCCGTGGGCAGCACCAGCCACGCCAGGAGCCCCTTCTGGACCGCGAGGCAGGCGGGCACCGCGGCTGGAGCAGCATGAGGCCCAGCGAGGCGGGTTCATCCGTGCTGGCAGGGATGTGGCGTGTTTCCTGCTGGCGGGCCGGGTACCACGGCACCAGCAGCATCTTGGTTGGGCAGGGCCCGGCTCCCCATTCCAGAAGCACCCGGAGGTGCCCCCCTCGTCGATCACAGTGGTGGCAGAAGAGGTTGGCCCGTCCCCCAGGCGGAGGGAAGCCTCTGGCAGGTCCCTGCCACCCACCTCCACCTGGGAGCCAGCTCTGTCCAGGGGGGGGCGCCTGACTCCCCTCGCCACCCCGCCCCAAGAAAAAAAAGTAAGTGTGAGGAGCAGCTTCCTGTTTTGATATTCTCTTGGCTCTCCCTGACCGCGGCGGGTGGCGAGTGCTGCTGCGGGCCTGGACTCGGCACTGTCCTTGCCAGCACCCTCCTGGGGGCAGCAGGGATTTGCCCTCTGCGGAGGCAGTGTGGGCCCAGGGAGGGCCCTCCTGGGTAGCCGAGAGTTGCCCGGCAGAGTCTCTCTAACTGCTTTTCTTGAGTAGGGAATGTTGTTGTTGTTACTGTTGTTGTTGTTGTTGTTTTTCTGAGATAAAATAAAAATGAGCCACATTGTGTTTTAAGCTTGTGCCGTGAGAAGGTGTCTGCGTTCCTTTCCCGCCTCTCACACGGGCTGGCACTCCGGCGGGTGTGAGAGGGCATGAGAGACAGACAGACAGACAGACACGCTCCCTCAGGCAGCGCCCGGACCTTCCACTCTGCTGTGGGGTGGAAGCAACTTCCGGTGACTCTTAGCCTTCACTCCTGACCGCGCGGGAACTAGGCCCCATTACCTTCCACACATTCTTTTTTTTTGTGGCTGGAGTGGGGGTGGGGTGGGGAGGGTTGGGGGATGACACCTGGTGATGCTCCAGGCTTAACTCAGGACTCTGCACTCAAGAATCACCTCTGGCAGTGCTCAGGAAGAGGTGCTGGGTATTGAACCTAGGTCACCCAGGTGCCAGGCAAGCTCCCTCTCCATTGTACTATCTCTCTGGGCCCTTCCCAGTGCTCTTAAAGGGAGCAGCGCCCTTGGCCTGTACTTGCACAGACGGGGCCCTCCTCATACCCCCCTCCCAAGCCACCTCTCCCCCAGAGGCCACAGAGGGATCTAGAAAAAGATCCTGCTGGCAGGAGCCTGTGTCTGGGGTCAGCCTGTGATGGAGAAGTGGGAACCCAGGGAGCAGTGAGCACCCAGCCTGGATGTCTGAAGCATCCTGGGACAGGGGCAGGGCAGGGGGTGGCTAGAACTCTCCAGGCCCACAGCCCCGAGGTCCCACTGGTACACAGCGGAGAACAACCTGCTTCTCTTAATTAAACAGGGTGATGGGGTCCCTGCAGGCCACATAGCCGGTAAGTATCTCACTTAGGCCTTTCTGCTCTTCCCCCACCCCATGAGAACCACAGCTCACATGAGAGTACCCGTCCAGACGTTGGACCATGTGAGCACAGGAGTGAGCAGGTGTGAGCCCCCCACCCCGCCCCGCGGGCTCCACAGCATTCCCCGAGCACCCCTACTAGGAGTATGGTCCCAGCACACATGTGGACAAGCGTGACAAAATGAGCCCACACTTCAGTGAGCTCGGTGGCTGAGCACACGAGCACCAGCCAGGCTGGACACCCCCGCCTGCATGATAACATGCAAAACAATTAAAGAAATAAAGTCAATAATAACATTTCCATTTACAGAGAGAAATCGGTGCCGGAAAGACTGCAGAGGGGTAAAGGTATTTGCCAACCCTAGTTCAATCCCCTCTCAGAGAGCCCAGCAAGCTACCGAGAGTGTCTTGCCCACACGGCAGAGCCTGGCAAGCTCCTTGTGACATATTTGATATGCCAAACATAGTAACAATAAGTCTCACAATGTTACTGGGCCCGCTCAAGCAAACCGATGAACAACGGGAGGACAGTGACAGTGACAGTTCAATCCCCGGGACCACCAATGGTCCCCCGAATCCGGTCAGGAGTGATCCCTGAGTGCAGAGATCCAGATGTGGCTCCTCCCTCCAAAGGGCCAAAAGTGACCTAAACCTTAAGTGTTCAACTCGGCAAAGGGAATAAGAGTCCAGGGGTTAGCACGCGCTGAGCGTCTGTGAGGTTTGCTCCCCGACTCCCACCCCTGCTCCCAACACTGTCCTCATGAACCTCCATCACTGTTACCTCAGAGCATCTATGAGACCCAGAGGTTTTTTTTTTCCTTTTTTGAAAACTGTATTTTTTAATCAAGATGATTATTTTTAATGCACCGAAGTCATATCGGTTTATAACACTAGGTTGGATTCAGGTGTATAGCATTATAAATCAACAACTGATTATACCAATAAACATCTGCAGATAACATCACTAAATGTTTACTTCCCATACATAATTATATATTGACCCCTTGTTATAAGATTTACACATTTCTTCAGAACATTCTATTTGAACTTCTTTCGATAAACTTTTGGTCTGGAGGGGCTTATCTCAAACTATAAAAATTTAGACTGAAAATAAACTTCAGAAACTATTCAGACCAACACAACCTAAAAAGCTTCCACAAATTTGCATGATGCCCTATACAGAGTGGAGCAAAGAAACATTTTTCTAGACAGTCTTTTTGTCATCACAAAATGATGTTGAAAGTGAACTTCCAGGGGCTGGAGTGATAGCACAGCGGGTAGGGTGTTTGCCCTGCACGCAACCGACCCGGGTTCGATTCCCAGCATCCCATATGGTCCCCCGGGCACCTCCAGGAGTAATTTCTGAGTGCATGAGCCAGGAATAACCCATGTGCATCACTGGGTGTGACCCAAAAAACAAACAAAAAAAAAGAAATTGAACTTCCAGGATGATAGATTTGGATGTGGGACATTGGAGACCCAGGGTTTGCTACCCATTCTCACCCCCTGCTCCCAACACTGCCAGCGCCCTTACCTCAGAGCACCGCTCTGTCAGGCCTGCGCCAGAGGACAGGGTCCTGTGACGGAAAACGTAGGGGCCAGAGAGCTAGTACGCCACAGGTTAAAGGGCTTGCCTTGCATGTGGCAGACACGGGTTTGATCCCCAGCCGTGCTTATGATCCTCCTGAGCACCAAGAGTGATCCTTGAGCACAGAACCAGGAGTAGACCCCATGCACTGCCAGGAGTGATCTAAAAACACAAATTACACAGCTGAAAACCAAAAACCGAGGCTGGAGTGATAGCACAGCGGGTAGGGCATTTGCCTTGCACACGGCCAACCTGGGTTCGATTCCCAGCATCCCATATGGTCCCCTGAGCACGGCCAGGAATAATTCCTGAGTGCAGAGCCAGGAGTAACACCTGAGCATCACCGGGTGTGACCCAAAAAGTAAAAAAACAAAACAAAACAAAAACACCCAAAACCAAAAAAAGCACTAGCGCATAACTGAGTCAAGCCTGTCCCTGCCACTTCCTCCTGCCCCTCCTCCACCCCAGCTTCGTGCTGGTTATGGGCCGAGAATAGGCTGCAAGACAGACACTGTCCATCCTCATGGTCACCCAGAGGTCAAGGGTCAGACAGAAGCTTAAAGGCGGAGAGTGAAGAAACATCTCTCCAGACTTCCCTGAAACCGTTTAGGAGCTGTGCTTTGAGTAGTTGGTGACACGGATACTGATTAGGGACAGGAAGGGGCAGTTGTAGTGCTCAAGGCGCTCTGACCTCAGGGGGCCCCGGGCTCTGCACACCCTCTCCTGCTCACTCACCCTGAGTCAGGCCTGAAGTGAAAGTGCCTGCAACCCTCACAAGAAGGCCGGACTCTCCGCCCACGCATGTATGCCCGCTGGGTGTGGGCACTGCCTGGGCATCAGGGATAGCTGCCCACAGCAGCTGCATGAAGGACCCATGAGGCAGTTCCCAGAGTTCCCAGGGCCCCTCTGCCTTCTCCTTATTCTTCCCCATGGGCCAGGGGGACAGGATGACCTCATCATCAGGCCTGTCCCTCAAACAAGATCCTGCCACAGGCTGTAGCCTCCAGGTGGTCCCAGCCATTCCCTGTGGTAGGACCCAGGGATGAGCAGGGAACTGGCTTCAACCGGTGCCAGCTCAACATTGCTAGAAAGACAGAAGCTCTGGAAACCCTCCTGCTCCCGCTCCACTCACGCCCTCTTTGGGGCTGGAGAGAGAGTGCAGGGCACTTGCCTTGCGCAGGTCTGTTTTGATCCCTGGCACCACATATGATCCCCAAGCCTGCCAGGAGTCATCCCTGAGCACAGAGTCAGGAGTACAGGAGATACTATGGCAGGTAGGGCTCATGCTTGGCAGATGTCTGAGCCAGGTCCAATTCCTGCACTACATGGTCCCCTCAGCATCTCTGGGGTATCCTAGGAAATACTATAGCAGGTAAGGTTCATGCTTGGCACGTGTCTGAGCCAGGTCCAATTTTTGGCACTATATGGTCCCCTCAGCATCTCTGGGGTATCCCAGGTGATAATATAGCAGGTAGGGCTCATGCCTGGCAGACGTCTGAACCAGGTCCAATTCCTGGCACTATATGGTCCCCTCAACATTTCTGGGGTATCTCAGGTCTCCCTGGCACAGTAGGGCCCAAGAAGCCCCACATCCTTGGGGTTTTTCACTGGCTTGATGGCCCAATTGGCCAAAAATGGTCAGTAGGGTCCTTGGATCTCCGAAGCACTACTTAGAAGCATCCTCCTGCTCCCGCCAAAAAACCCATCTTTGCTGTTCTCCTCAACTGTTTCAGGGTTTTTCTCTGGTTGTGGGGAGCTTACACAAAGCACTTCCAGGAGCTGCTCGGGGAGCAGGGGAGCAGGGGTAGGGGGTTTCTGTTCTGAGGCCAAGAGGGGTCAAGGCAAGCCCAGCAGTGAGCAGGGTTGAAGTGACCATGTCCTCAGTCTGCTGGGGAC